TCTCCTCTCCCTCTGTCTCTGGAAAGCAAGTGCCTAGAGGAAAAAGGACCACTAGCATAAACAAACAAACAGTCAGATGTGCTAGTGAGCCTAACAGTCCCCATGCTGAGGAGGTAGAGACAGCAGCAAGCCTGTAGTTTACTTGGTGTTTAGTGCAAGCAAGCGCTAAGGCATTCCGTGGGTGGAAATATCAGTTTTCTGACAGAATTCCCACTGAAGAGGAAAGGAGCAGCTCTGCATTGTCTCCTAGGCCCAGAGCTGGGAGGTCTCCACAGAAAACCTGGGCAGGGTTGTCCCTACCAGTGGCAGAAGTGCTGTCAGCTCTACTCCATGTACCTCAAGTCTCTCTGGCCCAGGCCAGCTGCTGTTCTGCCTTTCTTCTGAGAGAAGCTGGCCAGTACTCATGATAGTGATTTGTTCTCATTAGCTGGGCATGGCAGTATGTGATTATCTGCTAGCAAAGAGCTGAGGGCAGATTCTGAGAGCCTTATGGGTAGAGGCATGTCCCAGGCATCATCATGTAAGCCTATTAGGGACTGAAGGTACCACATCCCAGCACTAGCTCTATCAGTACGCCTGGGACGGGTACACATGAACACAGCAAGAAGCCTAAGAAGCCATTTTTATTGACCATAGAGAGAGAAGTGTTCGTACTTCCGTTCCACAGAGAGCCTCTGAGCCCTTCTGGCAATTCCACCTTTGTGTCAGTGGCTACAGAAATATTGTTCAATTTTCAGGTAAAGCAAACAGCTGTCCAAAGAGCATGCCAGAGGGAACGGTGTCCAATACAGAGTCAGTAAGGCCACCAGGCAAGGTGCTGGATTGCAGAGATATAGCATATCTCCTCCCGTGGGCTGTTAAGGGTAGGATATTGCTCTATGTCCCCCATTAAATCATAGATACAGCCATTTTATGTGACTACTGTTAACACTGAATGGCTTAAGAGAGCAACCAGTTTGGAGGAAGAAAAGAAAATATTGATATTCGGCAGTTTTATGAGCATGTAAATCAAATCCAAGTCTTGGTTTTTTTTTTAAGTAAATTATTTATGGTTTGAATTAACTTCTGTGTATTGTTCTCCAATTCTGCCTACATAGACAGCTCAAGTCTCTCTTCATATGCCAACAGTAAAACAGGTGATGTATTGTTTGACTTTAAACTCTCAGCTACTTACAAATTGGAATGAATGTTTAAAAGCTCCCAAGATTTGGGAGCTGGGAGAGGTCTCAGTCTGTGAAGTGTTTTGCTACCCAAGCACAACTCAGTTTGATCCCCAGAGCCCACATAAAACACCAGGTGCATTTTTGTGTGCTTTACCACGGGGTTCTGGGTAGAGGCTGGCAGGTCCCTGCCCAGAGGGTAGAGCACAAATAGAAGTTCCCCAGCTTTTGTGAGAGACTCTGACTCAAAAACTAAGAGGCACAGTGATTGGGGAAACCACCTAAGGTCAGTCTCCTGCCTCCAAATGCATGCTGCATACACACTCATCCAACCACACACAGCCACACATGTTAGAAATGTGTACAAAAGACAAGACTGTTTGATTTCAATGAAAAACTTTCCAGGTTTATTTAATGTCAACAAGGTACATTTGGAAAGGTTTTACTGGGCAAAATATCCTTTGTGCATACACTTTAACTAATAAATTATGGATTGTCTTGATTCTAATTATTTACTTCCTGTGGCATAAACGCCTCCTGCTCAAAACTCAGTGCTAGCTTATGTTTTAATTTTCTCTGAGACTTGCTGGTAGCCAACTGTCGTGAAGGATGTGTTGTTTTGTCAATATTGAATCAAGAAACAATTAAGCCCTATGAAAACATTGACACCCAAAATATTCTATGATGAGAGTCAGGCACACAGAGCTGAGCATCCCCCAAAATAAATGTGTTACCCAGTGCAAAAGTAGATGAAAAATGCACTGTAATCTCTGACTGAATCTGAGAATCACCATAGTGATAACATATGTACACCGTGTGACATGTTTAATGGTGTGATTGTAACCACCAGCCTGCTATATCCTTGCTGAAGATGGCCATGCCCCAGTTGTTGAGCCTCATAGGTATATGTTTAGAAATTTCATATTGAATGACTGAAGGACAAAGGGATACAAACAAGTATACTTTATGTTCTATAGTATCTAAGTATTTACTTGTTTTTATTTGTTCTTTTATTTGTGCATGTGTTTCTGTGTGTGTGTGTGTGTGTGTATGTGTGTGTGTGTAGAGGTGTCTGCCAGTATGACTGAACAAAAAGAACAGAAGGGGATATCAGATATCATATCTTCTCCATCATGTTCCGAATACTCCTTCGAGACATGGTCTCTCCCTGCACCGGGAGTTTACTTTTCCTGGTTAGGCTAGAAGCCAGCAGGCACCATCAGTTTTTCCATCTCCACTCACCTTGGAGCTGGGAATGCAGGTGACTGCATATCCTATTCCTTATGCGGGTGTTGGAAATTTGAACTTCAGTACACGTAACTGAGCAGCAATCTCTTAACCACTGAAATATCTCTCAAGGCCAGTGGATCTCAACCTTCCTAATGCTCTGATCCTTTAATATTGTTCCTGTTGTGGTGAGCCCCTAACCATAAAATTATTTTCATTGCTACTTCATAACCATAATTTTGTTTCTGTTATGAATTATAATGTAAATATCTGTATTTTCCGATGGCCTTATGTGTCTCCTGTAAAAGTGTCGTTGGATCTCCAAAGGAATCATGACCTACAGGATGAGAACCACTGCTCTAGGTCCTTAACTTTGCTACTAATGTTTATCAGATTCAGTTAGGCAGGCAGTGGTTTATAATATGTAGTTTATACACACACACACACACACATGTAGTATCATACAAATTATATTGTATATAAGCATGTATAACTAATTAATTAACTTCTAAATCTTAATATTGATTTTGAAGAAAAGATCTCCCTAAGTAGTCCAGGTTGGGCTTGAACTTGGAATCTTGCCTCAGTCATCTCAGTATTAGGTCTATGAGCATAGACCACTAAACCTTGCCTGCCTACTTTAGTTAATTGTAATGAATTTTATCAATAGTATCCATATGGTACATAACTTCAAGGTGATACTGAAGGTTAGCATTAGACATCCCTTATTGTGTTTTTAAATCTTCAATAAAAATATGACCTTAATACATACATTGAGAAATGCAGAAGAACTATGTGGAGGGCTTGCCAGATCTTTGAAAACTCAGAGACACATTGTTAGGTTTACATGTGGTTTTAGCGTGATTAACATTACATGCTTTCCCCTCTAGTAGGCATGAAAATGGACTGGAATGCCAATGTTGGCTTAGCTTAATTATGATTCCTGTCTTCTGCTGAAGAGGAATATAGCTTTCTCTGAGGTCCCAAGTTGCTTGAAGAAAATTAAAATTCTGTTAAGATATTAGTGATGGCTCAGGCTAGGAGTCCCCTGATACAGTGCCTGCCTAGCATGTGTAAAGCCCTGGGATCCATCCCAGCATGACATTCGAGATGTGGTGGTACCTGACTGTAATCCCAGGTTAGAAGCTCAAGGTCACTTTTGTCTACATAGAGTGTTCTAGATAAGCAGATATACACATCAGCCTTGCCTCATATACAATATAATGTTGAGAATTATGTTTGCTATATGTTGTAAGAAACTCAGAATAATAGTAACTCTGATGCCTATTCAATGGAAGTACAGCGGCAGACAGTAGAAACCATGACAAGATTAACACAAGGCCTTCTCTGTCTTCCTACCTAAATATGCTTCATGATGCTTGTTGTCAAGAGAGCTGCTGCTGTGCCAGCAATCATTTTTAAAATTATGATATGTGAATAATACAAGGTAGTAGGTTTTGCTATAGCATTTCTTCCATGTACAGAACACACATTTTGATGGTGTTCATCTCCTTCTTGTTCTATCTTGTCCCCTTTCCTCCATCCTATCAATCTTCTTTCTCTTCTCAAATAGCCCTCCATCTAATTCCATGTCTTTATTAAAAGTATTGTTTCCACACATGAGAGAAAACATGTTATTTTATCTTCTCTGTGTCTGAATTATTTTGTTTAACATTCTATTCATTTTTTTTACTACCAACAAGATTTCATTCTTTATGGATGAATAATATTCCATTGTATAGATATACTACATTTTTTAATTCATTTGACGGATACCAAGACTAATTTCATAATCTTTTCATAACATTTGTGCAGGCTACTTGATTGTTTGGTCCCTTGAGGGTATCACCATGAGCTGTATAGCTGGGTTCTGTCTGTCATCACTTTTAAGGCCCCACACAGAAGGAAGGAGTGGTAATCTGCCTCCTTTCTTCTTACAGACTCTACTAGATCCAAGAAAAATAGTCTGCTTATATCTTGCTAGTTGGAACTATGTCATATAAGAAGAAAGGAGAGCTGGGATGTGCCCAGTCCCCAAAGTCAAAGATGGGATTTTTCTACTGTGGAATAACTTAACAACTACCAGGTTCTATTATAAGTGGCAAATGCTAGATAGGGGTATAGGGAAGACAGAGGAGCAAAATGGGCCACACAGGAAATGGGCTGCCCTATTCTCATCTGTGTATCTTTCTGTGTTTCCAGTCATTTTAATTGCAGTAAGACAGGTAAGGAATAGAAGTATCAACAGAGATAATTACCAGCGATGCAGGGAAACTGTGCACACAGGTCATTAGGATGGGCTCTCTTACTGCTTGTTTTTGTAGCTTTTGTGGAATACATATGGAAAGAGATTACTTCCCCAAATATGGAAATGTGAAAGTGAAGGTGTGAATTTTCTTCCCAGCTGAATCATTGTAATTGGCCACAGGGTCATGTTTAGATATAGTAAAATATTACCCAGAAGGACATGCTTGTTATGCAGGAAAAGATCTGTTATGGGTAGAGGGGAGAGGACTATGAGGGGCTCATTACAAGCTGGAAGCTGTGAAGGACTTGTTAAATGAATATGCATTCATAGTCTGTCATAACCAACAACTTCCTTCCTTTTTATAGGTAGCCAACCAGGTTGTTCGAGCTCTACTCACTCAAAAGGTAGGTTCACCTTCTGCCTTTTACTTGAAGTACTAATGTGAATGGAGGACCCATTACACTGCCAAACCAAGGAACCAGGACCACAGATGTGGTGGAACTTTGCTGTTTGTTTACTTAGGCTAGAGCTGCAAGTGTGTGTGTGTGTGTGTGTGTGTGTGTGTGTATTGCATAAGAAGTAATATCAACACATAACTAATTTATTCATTTATTTATTTGGCTTAAAATTCCTGATTACAGCCCAGTGTAGAGAAGTCAAGGCAGGAACTGGCATTATCATATCCACAGTCAAGGGCAGAGAAAGTAAAGACATGGCTTCTTGCCTCCTTGCTCTCATCTAGCTTTGTCCTTTCTTTTACTTCGGGGTTCCTGTCTAGGGAATGGTACTGCCCACAGTAGGCTGGGATATGTCACTTAGAAATTAAGACAGAACACCATAGATATGTACTCAGACCACCCTAATTTAAACAATTCATCATTAAGACTCTCTTCCCAGATGACTCTAGGTTGGATCAAGTTGAGAATTACACTGACCAGTACAGAAACCTTTTTAAAAATGAAAGGTTTTCAGTTCCCAAAAGGAATAGCAGACTCTTGGGTTTATGTTGAGAAGCAAACTAAAGAAGTTGGTGGGTCATTCTAGCTCCTAGGACAAGAAAGTTGTTTGGGGGACAGCATTCAAAGGGGCCTTGGACTCAACAAGAGGTCTGTGAGATTACAAAAGTGTTCTAATTCTGTAAAGCCTGAATCCTTTTTCTATGGAGTGGGCATGTAGATGATACCCTTTTATCTCAAGATCATGGGGGAAATCTGAGATAAGAAGATAGGAAGAGTTACTTGGCTGTTATTTTGGAATCAATACAAAATAAACATAAGCTCTCTTATCTCTCCAGTTATCTGTGCATTCAATCTCCACACATAGGACCTCAGAGTCAGAACTAGTTATGAGTTATCTTCCACATTGTGACAGAATATCTGACCAAAGAATTTGAGGAAACAGTGGTTTATTTTGGCTTCCAGTTCAAGTATTCAGTCCATCAAGAGCAGAAATAATAGCAGAGAGAATATAAGGCAGCTGGTAACATTGTATCCACAGGCAGGACTTGGAGCACTTGGTCACATTGTATCTACAAACTGGGGCTTGGAGCAACTGGTCACATTGTATCCACAGCCAGGGATTAGAGCACATGGTCACATTGTATCTGCAGCCAGGGATTAGGGAGTTGAGTGCTGGCCCTGGGCTTGATTTCTCCTTCATATAAAGCCCAGGACCCCTGCCCATGGAATGGTTATCCTGTATGTAGTCTTCCTACATCGATATTCTCAGTCTAGAAACCCTCTCACAGACATTTTGAAAGGCTTATTTCGTAGATGATTCTAGATCCTGTCAAGTAGACAGTCTATATTAACCATGGGAATCACTGCCAGAGTGAGTAAATACATGTTTGCTCAGGTTTGACAGATGGGGTACATTTTATTCAGTGATTCCTAGCCTAGCCACTTCTCACTGAGTCTAAACTGTAGTTCCCTCAAATTTTGTTTATTCTAACAATTTCTTCAAAGTATAAACTTTTCTAAAAGATTCCCAGCTTCTGTAGCATCCCCTGAAGTGTATGACTGTGAGGAGCCAAGTAATTTGTGCTACTGAGTCTTAATAGAAACGAAATTTATCAGGCATCTACCCTGTCACCCAGATATTCTTAAGTATTATTTATATTTATACTGCACACACAAACCGTGACGATATTTTTGCTAGACCTCTGTAACTTTTCCTTTAGCAAGTATTTATTAACTATTTCACATTTGATATCAACATCATGTAAATAAAGACATCCATGTATGTTATTTAGAGTTGGGCTCTGTTGTAAGGAACAGAGTTGTAAAATAGTGATGGCTGACGTGAACTGAAAGACTCTTTTCACAGTAATAAGTCACTAGGTAGTCAATGTAGTATTATAGCTCTGAATCCAGAATGTCTCTGACTCCTCTCATTTTTTTCCTGTGTGCTGAAGCCACGATTCCCAGCTCTGACTAAAGGTACAAAATAGCTGCTTTAGCTCCAGTCATTGTGCCTGCTGCATTCCAATCATCAGAATAATAAAAAAAAAACATGAAGAGTTTGTAGAGGGTAGAATACCAGCTATCCTAAAAACAAACAAAACCTTTATATACATTATTTACTTATTATCTGTCTATATGCATGGGTGTGTACGTACCTCACCATGAATATGTACATCAGAGGTTCTCTCCTTCCACCATGTGAATACTGGCTTAAAAATTATCCACTGAGCCGTCTCACTAGCCACCAGCTATTTTGTAAGGTGATATCTAGAAGGTTCCAAAGGTCATGAGTCTATCTCCTTGAAAAGATTTTCATCACAGAGCTACACCTAAGAAAACTGATAAGTGGGCCTTCACTGTAGGTAGATGTCCAGAAAAACTACAGGTTGTTCTTTTACTATGGAAGAAGGTAAAAATAAGATGCTCTTGGATAAACCCAGATTTCTGCCACAGTGTGCATAGATACCCTCGTCTCTTGAAACCTTTGATTTCTTGGTTGCTCTGTGCTCACTTTATTTCACAGCAAAGGGAGAGCCTCTGCAGCCCTGTGTGTAGCCTCAGAAACACTTCTTCTTGTCTCTTTAATGGTGCCTCAGGGGTCTGGTGCAGTGCAGAAGAAAGCAGGGTCCTTAGGTCAGCCACCAAAAAGTGGCCACACAAATCCAAGTAACAGCTGGTAAACACATCCATCTACTGCAGTGAGGATGGATTTTTAGGCACACAGAGAAGCGCTACCACAGGACAGCATGCCCTACGAATTTCACCAAACAGGAAGCTGTGTAGCAGTTTCTGGAGAGTCCATGATGTTACATTCTGTTAAATATCCACCTCCTGGTTTCTACAGGACCCGAAAACTGCTTCAGAAAGACAGCTGTTTCTCTTCAGTTATAAACAGAACAGAGCTGAGGCTATAACTTGGTGGCTAGAGGGCTTATCCAGTGTGCATTGATCTCCAGTCTCAGTACTGCATAAGCCTGACTCAGTGGTACAGGATTTGTAGTCCCAACAGACAGGGGAGGGGGTCGGAAAACCTGGAGTTCAAGGTCATTCTTGAATACTTAGGGAGCTTGGGCTACAGAAGACCACCTCACAAAGAAGATAATTTTGGGGGAAAATAAATGCAACCCACATGCAAATGTGAAAATTAATTCCAAAGGCAGGTGCAGTTGGCACAGGTGATATGACAGAAATTGTCAGTAATTTCTGTCTGTCATCCTTCTCTCTCTTTTTCTCAAATGCCCACATGCATGTGCATGCATGCAAACACATACACAGACACACAGACACACACACACAGACACACATGTACCATGAATAATTTAAAAATAAAACAAAAATGTAAAAACAACTACATCATTCATCTATAACATCAAACAAGGATGTGTGGCGCGAGTGTGTGTGTGTGTGTGTGTGTGTGTGTGTGTGTGTGTGTATTAATGCAGTGCCCGGGTCCAGAATGTATTGAGTCTCTGGGAACTAGAGTTACAGGGAATTCTGAGCTGACTAAAATGGGTGCTGGGAACTAAACTTGGTCTTCTGGATGAGCACATACTCTTAACTGCTGAGTCATCTCTATAGGCCTAAATGATCCAGTTTTAAGATGTGTCATGTCTTATGATACACAAAAGCCTCTCTCCCATGCCTTCTATTTTTTTCAAGGGCAATCCAAAACCAATATTAGTCTTAGCAAGAATTGTTCAGACCAACACCCAGGTGGTACAACCCAGCCATACCCACAAGAAGGTCTGGCATATGACTAGCACAGAACCATCTCCCTCTCACTGAGTGCTGGGCTGGACAATCAAATTGTCCCCAGTCTTCATGCCTGTGTTCCCACTGATTAGCCTTCACTGTTCCTTAAATAATGCAACTGGCCACTGAAGTTCAGGTGTTTGTATAAAAACTCTCTGTAGAGGGTGGAGAGATGGCTCAGGGCGAAAAGGTGTTGCAGCCAAGCTTGATGACCCAAGTTCAGTTACCCGGACCACTTGGTGGAAGGAGAGACACAGCTCCCATTGTCCTCTGACTTACACCCATACACTGTACACACACCCATCGAAAGACTGTGAAAATAAAAACTCAGCAGAAGCTATCTTCATTTCTGTTACCTTACCCACATGAAGAACTCCCTAGCTTTGCCCCTGTGCTGCTGGGTAGTTTCAACACTGTGGCCTCATGCTCCCCTCTCTCCTTACAAACTGACACCGCTCTGTGTGCATTCCCTGTCACCTCCGTCGAGTCAGAATGGTTGTGTTTTCCCACCCGATGGGCACTATTAATATTTATCTGCCCCACAGTCAGGTTTTATTAATTACTTAATTAGTAGTAGTGAAAACAATTAGCGTTGAGAGCAGAGAATGTTATGTGCATGCTGGCAACAGAAATTAGCATAAGTGATAAGCAGAGGTTGAATGACTTAAAAAAAATGGTGGAGTGTCCGTGCACAGAATACACAATTCTGCTCTCTGGACTGTCTTCCTAGGGTCTTCATTCCAACCATGCATCGAGGGACATAGATCAGCTAGAAACATTGTATACATGGGCTTCATACACTTAACCAGAAAAGATGAGAAGAGCATGCAGTGTACAGGGTACAATGCTCAGAAAGATTCCTTTGCCCCCATAAACAGAACCCATGCTTCAGAGTATGATGGTGCCTGTTCACACTTAGCCTCAGCAGCCCTGTATCTCTAGAAGCCAAGGTTGATATGGAATAGGCTTCTAACAGCTACCGTGTAGGCCAGGTATGCCCAAGCTGTGTGAGCTGCCTATGTCCCAAGATAGTTGTGAACACTATCTGACAAGCTCATATCACAGTGTCAGAAGGTTAGATATGGCTGAAGAGATGGCTCACTAGATAAAAATTTTGCCTCTCAAATATGTGCACATGTGTCCATATGTCCAGGCCCATTTTAAGGCTGAACATGGTAATGCATGCATTATAACCTGAGCATCCTTTGATGAGACTGAAGGCAAAGAGAATTCCCAGAAGCTCCAGGATCAGTCAAGGTCAGCAGCAGGCAATTAAACCCTGTCTTAAGGAACATGGAAAGTGAGGAGCAACAACCCAGGCAGTCCTCTGACCTCTATGCACATGTATGTATGCCAACAAGCACACATGAGCATACACACAGACACACACAGACACGCACACACACAGACACACACACACCGTTCATGTCATACATCCTCACACAAAGTCTTTTAATAAAGATGGGTCACCCCTAAGTTCTGGAAAACATCGCTGCCAACTGGTCCTCTCGCTACCTTTCAGGGCCTATGTGAGCCCATCACTGTCCATGGCAGAGAACAGGTATGCACCCACCTGACTTGCTAACACACCTGATTTCTCTGTATTATGCAGGTTACCAGGGGATTTGACAGCATCATCACCTCTAACATTTATAACTAACACAACAAATAAACCACTAACATCTACTGTGGTTGTAATGTATTCAGTGGTACATTAAAAGAGAGTGAGAGAGAGTGGAAAAAGGACTATGCTTGTGTTGTGGCTTTTCTACTTATGGATGTGTCAGTTAGCTGACAAGACAGGTCTACATCAAGAAGATGACGGGACACAAAGTGCTTTATGCTTAGAGTTACAGCAGAGGCATTGGAGGCTTGATGGGGTCTAAACAAGGGAACAGTCACCATGGGTGCCAGGTGAGGTGTTCAAAAAAGGACGTTTAAACTACTGTCAGATATTCCAACAGCACATTGGAAAGCTGCTCTGAGAGGCAGCAGTGGATGGACCTTGAAATGTAGGAAGAGACCAGATTCTGAAGAGCCTTGAATCTGAGCTGTAAGTTTGGAACTTATCAGAGAGAGTATTACCATTGAACTCACACAAGGACTGATATCGAAGCCTGGGAGGGAGGCAGCCCCACTGTGGAGACCCCAAAGGCTCTATTCAGCAGCTCCCCTGACCATGAGCTGAGGAAAAGGTCTTGGAACGACTTGAACTATTGAAAGCAATTGTTCCCAACAGTGGCACAAAAGGGATAACTGTGTTCCCTCCCTGGTATTGAGCCCAAAGTTCTCCAGACAACCTGTTTAAAGGACAAGCAAGATACAGTGGTAGTTTAAATGCCTTTACTTGTGACTATACAAATGGTTCAGTCAGCAAAATGCTTCCCTTGCAAGCATAAGGAACTTAACTCCAGAACGCAATGATCTAAGAGTCCTCTTCCTCTGACCAAGTTTCCTGGGTGGTACTCTAGAAAACAAGGTATAGAGAAACACACACACACACACACACACACAATGGGAGCTGGTAAGGTGATGAGGTGGCTAAAAATATGCACTGTCCAATCATGAGGACCTGGGTTTGATCCTTAAGACTGTGTAAACAGATGGGCATGGCTGTGCCTGTAACCCCAGAGCTGTGGGGAACAGAAAGAGAAGCATTATTAGTATTTGCTAGTAGGATACCCTTTGTCCTGTTTGGTCTTCCACCACATACACACACACACACACACACACACACAAACACACACAAACACACAAAAACATTTGAAGTGGGTAGCACGTAAAGACCAACACCCAAATTTTCCCTCATTCCACATACAAGTGTTCATATATCTGCATTTGTACATATTCATGCATACACATGAAAGCACACACACATGGACACACACATGGGCACACAGAGAGAGACACACAAACACACATATACATATACAGACACACACATAGACACACACACAGAGACACACACAAACACACACATATACATATATAGACAGACTCACACACAGACACAGACAGACACACACACACACACACACACTCCTTCATTCAGAGGTACTCCTTTCCCTTAAATGCATCAGTGACTATGTAGTCACAATGCTGAGAATCTCAACTCATTTCCCTAAATGACACTGGCGGCTCCATCTAAAGTGCTAGCTCCTTTAGTTCATTGGTTCTCTAGTCATTGTAAAAATACTGTTGTCCTTGTGGTTTGTACTTTATGATTGCTTTTATGAAGACATCAAAAAAGCATAATATATAGGTAGAAACGTAAATTGACTTTATATCACTAAGATTTACCGCCTTCAAAAATAGAGGACTGCATTAATGCATTTCTGATTTCAAGGTGCTTTATTTATTTATTTTTGTACAATTGGTCTTCCCTGAACATAACAATTCCATCAGACAATGGTTCTTGGAAGAAAATGTTGTTCGTGACTTATTTTTCTGGAGGCTTTGAAGGATAGAATGATAGTTTTTCCTAATGTGTCTGAAGTATCATGCAAAATACAGCTGTAATATGCAAAGGCATCTTTTGGTCAGCCTTTCTTTTACTTCTTCATGTCTTTTTGTAGGATCTAAGGGAGGAATGTGTAAAGTTGAAAACAAGAGTATTTGACTTGGAGCAACAGAACCGAGCGCTCAGCATCCTGTTCCAACAGCGAGTCAGACCGGCTTCTGACGTGCTCCTCCAGGTATGTGTTTATGTGGAAAACGGCCTTTGCTCCTAAAAAGCTCTTGACAGGAAGCTGCTTGCATTCAAAGCTTGCCAGCTCCCCAGGTGTAAGGCATATTGCACAAAAATCCCAGTGCCACACTGTCTCAGGTGGTGTCCTTAAAAGTGACTATCTCTCAAATTCTCTACTTTGGAAAGTTACATTCTCATAAGGAAAAACTCCAAAGAAGAGTACACAGGCAAAGGAGACGTGTCTGTCCTCTGGACTGGAGACATGCCACAGCTGCAGTCTGCTAAGTGCTTGCCTTGCAAGCATTACCACCTGGGCATAATCCCCAGTATGTATATTTGAAAAGCCAGGTGTGGTAGCATGTGCTTCTAATCCCAGAGCCAGGGAGGAAGAGACTTGTGGCTCTTTGTCCAGCCAATCTAGCCAAACGGTGAGTTCCAGATAAAAGCAAGACACTCTGTCTCCTATTACAAGGACAGTGTCCTAAGGAACAACACCTAAGGCTGGCGTCTGGCCTCTATATCCAAGTGTATACGTATGCACACTTGAACACACACGCACACACACACACACAAGCACGCACCAGGTATACATACAAATTACATAAAGCTAAAGTTAACTTCCTGTGCTCCACTAGAAACATACCAAGGAGCACAAACCTTGCACACACTACATTGGACAGTATATAAGTAGAGCATTCCCGTCATCATTGGAAATTCTCCGTGAAATGTTTTCTCAGTGGTTGAGTTCCTCATCTGTTCTCTGCATTTTGGCATAAACGTCTCAGTACTTCTCTATGGAATGATGAGCGGCTGCAGCTCATAAAAGGAAACTGTGTTAGTAAAACAGTAACAAGAGTTAGCCCCACCCCTAACTTCAAATAGGAGAGCTCTTTGAATTACAAAGTAAATCTCATTTCAGAAATTAATTTCCTCTCTGCTTTAGCTGTTGGAACATAATTTATAATTCATGGCTCAAAAGTTGTTGGCAGGCCACAGGGAGAAACCGTGTGTCTCCATTTTGTTTCCTGGACCCGACCACCATCAGTGTTTGTCATTGGGGATCATGAGTTTGTGAGAAGCTCCATTTCTTTTGCAGTTTTACAATTAAGACTTGATATTGTAATTACATTTAACAGCTGTTGCCTGCTCATGAATTTTTCTGTTTTGCTTGCTCTAACTCAAGGCTCTTCTAGAACAGTGGTTAAGGATCTACAGTCCCTGTTTATAAATCCTGATGGATTATTTATAGAATAAACACATATGCCAGAGACAATACAGTGTTCACATTGGCCCTCACAGATAGGGCAGGTGATCAGACCACCCACAGACCTTGTGTTGTATTCATTAGATGTTAGTTATCAAAGTTTATATGCTTCACCAAGGAATTTGCACTTTATGAGCCATCTGCAATAAGGGATTCTTGCTAAAGGTGGCCTGTGTCTTAATTTGCTTTTCTATTGTTGTGGTAAAGATTATGTCCAAAACCAACTTTCACCTATTTTATAAGTTTCACCTCTCAGTTGTGGTTCATCCTGAAGGGACGTCAGAGCCAAAATTCAAGGCAGGAACTCTGCAAGCAGGAACTGAAGCAGAGGCCAAGAGGAACCCTGTTTGCTGGCTTGCTCCTCGTGGCTTGCTAAGCTTTCTTATGGAACCCAGGACCGCTGGCCCACAATGTGGTTGGCCTTCCTGCATCAGTCATTAATCATGGCAGTACCCTATAGACACCAATCTTACAGAAGCATTTTCTCAATTAAGATTCCTTCTTCCCAGATGTGTCCAGGTTAATGTCAAGTTGGCAGCCATGACAGGCTGTTAAGAGACCCATGAAAAACAATGATAGACTATAATGACTGCTGAGATGATTAATGTTCACTTTCCACTTGTTAGAACCTACAGGTAGCTGGGGACATAGTCTCAGTGAGGGACTATCTAGATCATGTTGGTCTATGAGGCTTTCTGTAGTGGATTGTCTTTATTTCTTTAATGTGGGAAAACCCAGTCCACTGTGGGCGGCACCATTCCATTGGTTTAGTCCTTGGATTTTATAATAGAGGAATCTAGCTGAGCACAGAGCATACATACATTCATTGTTCTTGACTATGGATGTGATATGATTAGGTACCTCAATTTCCTGACATGATTGCCCTGCAATAATGGACTGTAGCCTGGAATTACAGGCAGAGTAAATTCGATCTCCCCTAAATTGCTTTTTTTGTCAAGATATTTTACCACAGCAACAGAAATGAAGCTAGAACACCTGCTGTCTAACACCTGTGTGTCATAGTCATATTTAGAGGAAGTAGCAGGATTTGCCGTTGATCTATTCATTATTTCGCTCACAACATAGTTTTCTGATGTTGCTTTGGGGATTAAGTGAGAACATGTACTCACCATGGAGATAAAAGAGGAACCACCTGAGCTTGCTTTTCACCTATTGACACTGGGTAATTATTTGTTGAATAGGATAATGAATAAGCAGTAAATCCAGCTTGAGAGTTGGAGGTTGATTTGCATAAACATAAGGGAACTTTGTGCTCTCTCTTTTTCTGAAAATTTCTCATTTTATATGGATGCCTGATATCCTGTGTAGCTGTGTAGAGTGTGTGAATAGGCTTTGTGAGAAAGTACAACAAACTGTCCAGTGTATACCTGGCTGTAAAAACTACAGACCCTACAGCTGCTCCGTGGGGACCCTGGAGGAAGTTCTCTCCTTGGATATCAAGTCATTTCCTATATATTTAAGAAACTGTTTAAATTTTCCTCTGAAGAAGACAGCTCAGCCATTCTTAACCATTTGATGTAGCCACCCCAAAGGCAATATAGAAAGATGGCGGTTAGATTCATGGTGACTTAGTAAGATAAATTGTAAGTGTCAGGAAAAGGCATTTGTAAGTCAGAGCCAAGTAAAAAATAAAAGGATAGATCTAAGAATTAGCTGACAGGTTCTAGTAACTTATAAATAGAGCAGGGTAATGAGGCACAGTGGTGTCTGCCTTCAGTCCCAGCAGTCAGGAGGCTGAGGCAGGAGAATCATTGATCTCAGGATATCAAGGGCATCTTAGGTAGCATAGTGATACCACAAGTAAAGAAAGCAACATGAACCACTGAACACAGCTCTGTCCACTGCTGAGGCTGGTGAGCACAAACCTACAATTTAAAATGTGGCGCTTGGTAATGAGCTTCCTCTTGATTCCAGTTTATGCTGTGATATCTCTGGGAGTAGAAGTAGTTTTAAATCAGGTTCAGGAGACCCTTTTTTATTCAGATAACCATCAAGTAAATTCTAAAGCACTGAGAAGTTAGTATAGAAAATAAACTCCCAAAGTTGTCATGTCAGGGGCTGGCACCCCAGTTGTGTCTGAATCTGTAAATAGCCAAAGCTAGATGAGTTAGTGGACAGTGTCTCTTCTGGAAAGTCACACAGAACAACTCTGTTTACTTCATAACTGCTGACCACTACAGTAGAGCTCCCTGTCAGTTATCCCAGCGTTCTCTCATCCATTGGGTTAGAAGTTCACCGGCAATGAATTATTTCAGTAACTCAGTTTGGGCATAGAGTACCCATCATGGTAATTATGGAATTCCACATTTAATAATGTGGGGCTGGCAAAATGGCTTAGCCTGACAATCTGCATTCAATCCCTAGAACCTACATAATAGAAAAACAGATTGATTTCCCCAACTTGCCCACAGATCTTTATATATTATCTACTGAGATTCAGCTGCTCCCACAGAAGAGGTTTTAAAATTAAAATTGTAATTTTATACAAATTGTATTATCTAATGAACTATGGTGGGTATCAATGAATTATTTTTGTAAAATAAATCCCAGTGTTTCCAACTACTCTATAAAGGAAAATGGAACCAAGGAGCTCAGGATTGTACTAAATATTGGTGTCTAACTATAACAAAATTACAGAAAATAGTGAATTATGTTAAATGTGGGGGATTCTGCATGTGAACTGCTCCTCAAATATTTGTTAGTTTTCTTATTTGTTTGGCTTTTGTTTGTTAAGGAATGGTGTATTGACTCATGGGCTGTATAAATGGGACAAGCACTCTACCACTGAGCTGGATCCCAGATCCTCAAATAGTTCTAAAGGAAGACTCCAACAATAAGGTCTATAAACAAGAACCCATCTTTGGTTATAACCAAAATGTAACTGAACAAAATGCAGAAATCACCATGTTACATCACATGCTGGTAAATTCGAAACTTGTGCTGATCTGATCTTTTCCAAACCTATGAGATAGGGCTGAGTACTGGCTCATTGTGTACATTGAGTACATGGGGATACAGGTGGAGAGAAACTACGTCACATAGCTGCAGCTCACAGGGGGAGGCTTCAACTTGGAAAGCTAATGAAACTGATTCCATCAGTACTCAGTTTTGCCTCCATTTGGTTTTCCCTCTTTAGAGACTTCTGAATAAGCAAAAAAGCTATAGTACGTGTGCATGTGTGTGTGTCTGTGTGTGTGTGTGTGTGTGTGTGTGTGTGTGTATGTGTCTGTGTGTCTGTGTGTGAGCATGGCAGCCAAAGGAAAATCTCAACTGTCTCTCTCTACCTTACTTTTTGAGCCAAGGTATCTTCTAGGCCTGGAACTCATCAAGTAGAATTGGTAGTGAGCACTGGGGATCTACCTTTCTGCTTCCCCAGCACTGGGATTACAAGTGCACACACTACTGCGCATGGATTCCTTTACATTGTGGCTAATGTTTGAACTTGTGTCTTCATGCTTGCAGTGTGAGTACTTTGCCAACAGAACCATCTTGCCTGCCTAAAGACTATGATTTAGATTCCCATTCTAAGTGATGAACAGGCCCACATGTGACCCAAATGCATCACAAAACTTCCTCGGTACAGTAACAGCAAGGGAACCACATTGTAATAGTTTCTAGAAGGTTCCTGCCATCTTGATTTTGCACCTCTTTTCTCTGTTCTGCCTGTGTCACCATTATTCTGATAGGATTTTATTCTCATATATTCAAACTGAGACAGTTAA